TTTTAAACATTCCAACATCCGAATTATAGGGGTACCAGAAGAGGAAAAGGAACAGCCATGAGTGAAAAACTTATTTGAACAAATAATAAAGAAGAACTTCCCCAATCTGGCAAAGGAAATAGACTTCCAGGAAATCCAGGAAGCTCAGAGAGTCCCAAAGAAGTTAGATTCAAGAAGGAACACACCAAGGCACATCATAATTATATTAGCCAAGATTAAAATGAAGGAGAGAATTCTAGAAGCAGCAAGAGATAAGGGGACAGTCACCTACAAAGGAGTTCCCATCAGACTGTCAGCTGATTTCTCAAAAGACACCTTACAGACAAGAAGGGATTGGAAAGAAGTATTTCAAGTCATGAAATCCAAAGATCTACATCCAAGATTGCTCTATCCAGCAAAGCTTTCATTTAGAATGGAAGGGCAGATAAAGTGCTTCTCAGATAAGATCAAATTCAAGGAGTTCATCATCACCAAGCCCTTATTACATGAAATTTTAAAGGGACTTACCTAAGACAAAGAAGATAAAAAAGATGAACAGCGAAAGGACAACAAACTCCCAGTTATTAACAACCACACCTAAAACAAAAGCAAACTAAGAGGACAGCTAGATCAGGAGGGGAACCATAGAAATGAAGATCACATGGAAGGTTAGCAACAGGGGAGTGGGAGAAGGAGAAGGGGAGAGAAGGTACAGAAAATAAGTAGCAGTAGGTAGAAAATAGATAGGGGGGAGGGCAAGAATAGTAGGGGAAATATAAAATCTAAAGAACTTGAGACACGTGGTCATAAACCAAAGGGGGGGATGGTGGGGGCGGGAGTGTGCAGGGTGGAGGGGAATGAAGGGGGGAGAAATGGAACAACTGTAATGGCATAATCAATAAAATATATTTTAAATAAATAAATATAAATAAATAAATAAATCTTGATAGCAGTGTAGTTTCCCCAGTTTTGTTTTTCTTCTCCTCTTATTCCTCCCCCATCTCCTGTTTCATCTCTTAGAGACTTTTTTACAACTTTTGAGCCACTATATTCCATCTGAATTTTAGAATCAACTTGTCAATCTCTGTCAAAATGCTACTTAAGTTTTTATAGAATGCATTATATCTATAGGTCAGTTAGGGAGTGACTGACATGTGTACAACATTTACCAATTCATAAATATGGTATTTTCCTATGTTTACTTGTTTTATTTATTTCCTTTTTTATTGATTTTTTTCCATTACCACTATCCCTCTTATACCCTCTTCCACTTCCACCCACTCCACTCCCTCCTGCAATCACCACACTGTTGTCTGGGTCCACAAGTCCTTTTTCTTTTTGCTCAAATATATTTGTTTAGATTTTTATTTATCTCTTTAGCTTTCAGTGAAGAGCTTTTATACATCTTTCATTAGATTTATACCTAGGCACTCAGAATTTCAAATTACATCTTTATAAAATGTCTTAAAATAACTTTGTTGGCAATATATAGAATAAAATTATTTTTTGTTATTTATCTTGTATGCAATTACTTTCTAATTCTAATAAATTTTCTGTATATTCTTTAGATTTCTTAAGTTCTTAATTAAGTCATCTATGAGTAATAAATTTGCCCTCCTTTTTACTTTTCTTGCTATATATCTACCTATTATTTACCTTTCTCATGATTTATGTCATATTTCCATGTAAAGGACTTGCAGTTTAATGGCAAATGGAAGTGGTGATAGTAGTTGTACTTGTCTCATTATTAATCTTAGAAGAAAAATTTTTAATATTTCACCATTATGTAGGATGCTTGTTGTAGGTTTTTTTGTAGAAACTCTTAATCAACTTAAAGACAGTCCCTTCTATTCCTAATTTGCTAAGAAGTTTCTATTTTCTATCATAGGTGGGTGGTGAGTTTTATCAAATGTTTTTTCTGCATTTACTGAAGTGACAGAAAACATTTGTTTTTGTTGTTAGTGCAGAGAACAGTCTAATGTTATGTGTTACTGTGTAATAAAGTACCCTAAACTTAGTGGCTTAAAATGATGATATTTATTTTGTTTATAAAGTTGCAATCCTGGAAGGATTTTGTGTCAACAACTTTGCTTTACTCAGTAGCAGCTAGACTCAAAGACTGGGAATCTTTGAAAGTTTGATTTGATTACATGTCTAGTACCTGATCTGGGAAGAGTTAATCAGCTGGGGGCTAGAATAGCTGAGGCTCCTCTGGCATCTCTGTCTTTATATGATGTTTGTTCTTAGTCTCCCTGGTATTACCCCGCAGGGTAGCTCCAGCTACCAGCTGATATTTCAGATTTACTTTGTCCTGTAGGTCCATATGTAAAATTCATAAGGTATTCTTTCCTGCTAACTGAGAATTCAATAGACTATTTCACTCTTTTATAAGGCTATCTGCTTCTGTGGGAAGGGATACAAAGTACTACTAATGAATCCCAGAAGCATCAGTCCTTTGGCTTACTTTTTCCATTGTTAGATGGCTTTCTTGATCACAAGTATCATGCCGCAATAGGGAATGAGGCATTCAGAAAGTCCACAGGTGGCTTTTCTGGCCACAAAGATGGTAACTCTAAACCCAAACAAGAATCTGCTGTTGGAAAAAAAAAACACCAAATTGCTCTATTCTCTGTGATGAAAAGTCAAGTTGTTGGATGGCATCCCTGAAATATGGTACCAAAATGGACATTTGTAGATTAAAATGCCAGTTTTCTTGTCCCATAGGTAAGATATGTCTGAGGCATGTTCTATACTCTCTACCTGAGGTTCCCTAAGAGAGTTAGTTTCAGTTGCTTACCGAGGTAACCATCTCACCAATGCAAGCTGCATTGGTGGAATTTCCACCAATGGAAAGAAATGGAAAAAATGGAATTTCTTTCCATTTTTATACCCCTATTTTTTAATGGTATATTACACAATTACATCATAAATTTTATGCACTCAAATCCTTGTCTCAAGCACTGCTTCTTGGCAGACTAAGGCAAATAGCAGGTTCTTATCCATTCATGTATTTTGTTCATTCATTAGGTGTTGATGTGATCCTTGCATGGTGAGTTGGATTATAGAAGTAGGATTTCATGCTCTAAGGTTTTAACCCTGTTCCTGCCCTTCTTATCTTTTATTTAAGATAATAAATACTATCTTCATTACTTTTTTGCCATTATTCCACAAACTTTGAATTTATGAGCTTAAAAAGTAGAGCCCATTCTAGCCTCAAACTCTTCTTTGAGCATAGGTGGAGACTGAGGCCTGAGTTAATAAATTTTGTAGCTAAGCCATAGGGCTAATTCTTGGCAAATTATATAAGGATGTGGTCTCCTGATAGAGCAGGTTGTTGGGGTTTTTCCACTGTAGTAGAAACAGATGGTTTACAGAATTTGTCTTCTAAACGTAAACTTTAGGATCTTTCACAGGAAAACTTTGTTGTCTTATTCCATTAATTGAAAATTATTCTGGCATGGCATAGTAGAAAGAGCTTGGGATTTGAATTGGTCTTGGGTTTAGAATCTGACATGGCTACTGATAAGTAAGTTCTTCGGAAGTATTTTCAGTCTTTCTGAATCAGTTTTCTTTTTTTGTAAAATATGACTGTAATACCTATGTTAGATTTTTGCTTTAAGAAATTAAATGCCATTATTTATTTAAAAGTTTGGAAAATGATAACTAAGCAGAAGCTGTTTTGTAGAAAAGAATCTGTTAAATTATTTAAATTATCTTTTTTATCTGATATACTCAGATTTTGTTTTTGGTTCCCTTTTATTAATTGAAGCAACTTCATGTTAGATTTATTCTTTTTTTCTAGTAGAGTTGAAATTTAATTGTCCTGTCATCAATACTGCAGAGGATTCTACTTGTTTTCTGCTGAGGAATGTTCCTCTTTTTTTTTGATAGCTCAGCAATTTGGTTGTTATGGGCCTCATAGTGTATTCATCACAGTTCAGCAGGATGATGAAGGTCACTTTCAGACATTTTTCAGTGTTCACCATGCACTATGGATGAATATCTAGGTATCTTCAGGCAATAGATATCCACAGTTTGTCCAAGGGGGAAATCATGAAATCCAGTTTGATAACTTCACATGTGCCTTTTGCAAAGACTAAAAGAAATAATGAATAAAGAACCCAAATAATTATTAGTGGACCAGTTCTAATTCAGAGAGTTAATAATAAACCAAGTCTTGGGGGTTAACAAACATGCCTTCTACTACTTATCATTTAACATTTTTGTCAGAGATATAATGCTGGGCTAGAAGGTTCCTCATTCCAATTCCGTGCCATTCAAAATCTCTTGAAGCTGTCATGACCCTTTGTCCATTTATAATACTTAATCTTCTACACTTCAGTTTTTCATGCATGCTTTATCTGTGCTTGAAGCAACACTCTAAGAAATTTCCCTTTTACTCTTCAACTAGTGTAACCCCAAAGTTGGTTAATTTGGTGTCATAGATACTGAAGAAAACTTAAGTATTGGGGAAATAATTGTAATTTGGACTGTATTTTTGTTTTTTCACAATTAAAGATTAACATGCTTTCTATATTCCAGTTAGGCAGTTAATATTTGGGAAGAAAATTGAACTTGAGATCTTTCTTATCCTTCCTTCCTTCCTGCTGGGAATTCACACTAGTGAATGAAGACCCAACACTTCTGGGAGATGGCAAAGAACATTTCTCAACATCTCACCCTGACCCCTTGAAGAAACTGCCACTCACATTGTTTTTCTAGCTTTTCTTGATTAGTCAAACAAATGATTTCCCTAGTTTTGCTTGATTACTCAAAGATAAATGATGCAGATGACCGACCAACAAGTGTGCCCTCTAGCAATAAGAATTCTTGAAGTTGTGATTGTAAATACCCTCATACTTGCAGACAGCACTCATGTTAAGGTCATATAATTAGCTGCAAGACTTGGAGCTTTATTGAATTGTCCTGGTCGGGTCCCATCTATTACATAAGCTACTCAGTTCTGCCCCTCCCCTTTAGTGAGTCAAAGCTGTGCCATAGCCAAGATTTAGTTCCTTGTCAGGAATCATTTCCCTACTGACTTAAAACCCCTTCTTCAGCTGGATCACGGCATCTGAGAACAGTGAGCCCCAGTGCTGTATGTCTGAGATGCAACTCCTCACCATGCCCCCCAAGTTGCAGAGAACTTTCCCAGCACTGTGCCTCCTCGGGGTCCTATTTCTATTGCAAAGCCTACCTGTCCTATGTGGTAAGTACAGACATAATAGAGAAGACGGGTGTGTTTATTTTTTATTTTATTTTTAAATATATTTTACTGATTATGCTACAACAGTTGTCCCACTCCCCTCCCCATAATTCCCTTCCACCCTGCACACCTTCTCCTAACTGCATCTCCTCATTTAGTTCAAGTCCATGGGCCATACACATAAGTTCTTTGGCTTCTACATTTTCTATATTATTCTTAACCTTCCCATGTCTATTTTCTACCTACAATCTATGCTACTTATTCCCCATACCTTTACCCCCAGTTCTCCCACCTTCCCCCACTAATAACCCTCCGCATGTGATCTCCATTTCCGTGATTCTGTTCCTGCTCTAGTTGTTTGCTTAGTTCACTTTTATTTTTGTTTTAGGTTTGGTTGTTGATAGTTGTGAGTTTGTTATCATTTTGCTGTTCATAGTTTTAATCTTCTTTTTCTTAGATAAGTCCCTTTAATATTTAATGTAATAAGGACTTGATGATGATTAACTCCTTTCATTTGACCTTATCTGGGAAGCACTTCATCTATCCTTGCATTATAAATGACTGCTTTGCTGGATAGAGTATTCTTGAATGTAAGTCCTTGCCTTTCATGACTTTGAATACTTCTTTCCATCCCCTTCTCTCCTGTAAGGTTTCTTTTGAGACATCAGCTGAGAGTCTTATGGGAATTCCTTTATAGGTAACTGTATCCTTTTCTCTTGCTGCTTTTAAGATTCTGTCCTTGCCTTTAATCTTGAGTAATACAATCATGATGTGCCTTGGTGTGTGCTTCCTTGGGTCCAAGTTCTTGGGGACTCTCTGAGTTTCCTGGACTTGCTGGAAGTCTATTTGCCAGATTGGGGGAGTTCTCCTTCATTATTATTATTATTATTATTATTATTATTATTATTATTTTAGTTTTCAATTTCTTGCTCTTCCTCTTCTCCTTCTGGCACCCCTATGATTCAGATGTTGTAAAATTTAAAGTTGTCTTGGAGGTTCCTAAATCTCTCCTCACCTTTTCGAATTCTTCTTTCTTCATTCTGTTCTTTGGAATGTTCATCTCTTCCTTCTGTTCCAAACTATTAATTTGACTTTCAGTTTCCTTCCCATCACTGTTGGTTCTCTGTACATTTTCCTTTATTTCACTTTTCATAGCCTTCACTTTTTCATCTATTTTGTCACTGTACTAAAGCAATTCTGTGAGCATCCTAATCACCTGTGTTTTAAATTGTTCATCTGAGAGGTTGGCCATGTCTTCATTTCTTAGTTCTACTTTGGAGCTTTGATCTGTTCTTTCATTTGGGTCATCTTTTTTTTTTTTTGTATCAGCATGCCTGTTTTGTTCTAAGGGGCCCAACCTTAGGTATTTGCCAGGGCTTGGCAATGTAATGCTTGAATTGTGGCACTGTATGTAGGGATGGGGTTTGAAAGGGAACAGTGCTGCTTGCTTGGCTGTTGGCTGGCTTTCAGTCACTTTCCCTGCTTTCCATAGCAGATTGGGCCCTTCTGGTGCTGACCTCCTGAGTGTATGGGCTTGTGCATATTCTAGGATCCTGTGGTTCTCTGCAATGCCCTCTCCTGTGAGGCTGGACATTTCTCCAGCTGCTGCCATTCCCAAAAGTTTTTATAGCTGCAGGTTTTGACACTTTATTTCCCTCCTCTGGAAACCTGGATTGTGCAGTCTGTCTCACTCCCCAGTTTTTCCTCCCAGTTTATCTGCACACAAATGTGGGACTGCCTACTCCACCAGCAGCCACCTCATGAGGTCTGCCAGCTGCTACCTTGCTACAAAACCTCTCTGCCCTAGCTGCCCATTAATTTTCTGGCAATTCTGGTTGTTTTTGTTTTTAAATTTGTTGTTGTTCTTCTTTTGGTAGTGCAAGGAAGCACAGTGTATCTACCTATACCTCTATCTTGGCCAGAAGTCAAGATGGGTGTGTTTAAACCAAGGTATGAGAAAAAATTTCTGGTTAAGAATTAGTTAAATATAAGCAAATATGAATAATTCAGTGCAATGTTTGAGGAGTGCAAGGAAGTATTTTATTAGGAAATATGCTCAACTACTTTTAGTGTTTCTGGTATAGGCTGTAATTACAATACTTGTAAAACAAAATATTACAAATCCTTGAGCAGCAATCTAGCCACAAAAACCTTGTATCTTTTATTTTTTAATATTAATGTATTTATATTTAAAAGATACTCCTTAATTATTAAAGAGTTAATTCTTTTTTAGGATTAATTATTTTTCTATTACATATTCATAATTGAGTATAAAACTTTGCAGTCCAGAAAAAAATGCATATTATTAGAAATGAGTGAATTTTTAAAAGTAAAATTGCAAGGTACTGTATAAACTAAAAAATGAATATAAGTGTAAGATATTGTATTGAAAATTAGGAAATAATACTCCCCAATAAATGAACACTGGAAGAATTTGCCAGGTCCTGCATGTCCTTCTATATCCTGCCAGGGTGGTGCTGATTATAAATGAAGATATGAGTAATTGTTTTTATTAATAAATAGAAATATGCTAACAAAGTAACATTTATTATTCATAAACTAATGGAAGCTATTCTTTAAAAGAAAGAATTTCTAAGAATATTTTTAAAATATTTACACACATACCCCTTAACTTATACAATCTATTAGAGCACTTAATGTAGAACATTTTGCACAGAATGGCAAAATCACTCAAAAAAGAAGAGATATCACCAATAGCTGTGTCTATTTCAATGGAAATTGTGTTTCCTATTCAGGTGACATCGAGTATTTTCTCAATTTTTATGATACAAGAATTGGAGAGGGAACATGGAGTTCCCAGTGTGACCTGTCTGCCTTTGTCAAGTTTAATTTCTAGGGCTCCAGAATGATTCCATGCTCTTTAAGCCTTATAAACTTCCTTAATATCACAGAGTAACTTCAGAATTGTTTTTCAAAGGAGGTTACAAAGTATATTATTTTGGTTTTTTTACATCATAATGATAGATATTTTCAATGAAATTTTAAAGTTAGATAAAAGGACTCACATATTCTGAGTAATTCTCTCTTAGAAACTGAAATGGCTAAACCTATTAAATTTCCAAAGCACTTTCAATATCTTCCCTGAGTACCATTATCTTGATCTTCTAGGCCTCCTTTTTCTTTGTGAGGCATTGAATGTAGATTATGTCCAACAAGTCAGAAAGACTTGTCCTGATTCCTTCAGATTCCTTTGTATTTATCCCCTCTTCTTCCATTTCCTGAAAACCCCATTTTACCTTTGGACCATGTGGAGTATAGGATATGCCTAAATGTCTCACTCTAGTTTCTCAGCTTGCCTCCCTTTCATTCTTCAATAACAACTTTCTGCTGACTTTAAGTCTCTGCTCTAATTGCCACTTCAAGACAAAATGCGAACTTCCTCCAAGATGGAGGCTTAGGTGGAAGCACTGTGCCTCCTCCCACAACCAAGTTTAAAAACAACAAAGTTTTAGCAACAAAAACGCAGCCAAAACCACAGAAGATTGAATTTCATGGAAGTCTGACAACAACGAAGGCTTCAGCCAAACCGGTAAGAGGGGCAGAGCCAGCAGCAGAGCAGGTCGGGCAGGAAACATCCACCTGGCCAACCCTGGCATGCGACCCAGGCGCACTGGCAGCTGTAGGCGTATCCCAGGTGTGGAGAAGCATGCAGACCCACTGAGGGTACAAGGCAGTGGACTCACTGAGGGCTGACCATGGTCACACATTTGTGCGCAGATAAACCGGTGGAGGAGGGAGCGATGAGACAGATCGTGCAGGACCCAGGGGCAAAAAGCAGTAGAGAGGACTGCCATTGTCCCTCTCTGACGCCATCCCCACCTACAGCATCACAAACCAGTGATCTGGGAGGCCTCTCTCTGACCCACTCCCACCTGCAGCAACACAAACTAGAGACCTGGGTGGCCCTGCCCTGGTAAACAACCAAGGCTCCACTCCTCATACCTAACAGGCACAAACACATCAAAACATGGCTCAAGAACAACTCAGAGCCCCAGAGCCAATAAATCTAAGCAATGAAGAAATAGCCAAACTTTCAGATGCACAGTTCAAAACACTGGTGATCAGGATGCTCACAGAGCTGGTTGGTTGATTTTAGTCACAAATTAGAGGAACAAATGAAGGCTAAACTAATTGAAAAAAATGGAAATGGACAGGAAACCAATAGTAATAAAAAGGAAACTGGGACTCAAATCAAAGGAGTGGACCAGAAAGAGGAAAAAAATGACCAAACAGAAAAGAATGTAGAAAAAGAATTAAAAAAAACGAGGAGAGGCTTAGGAACCACCAGGACATTTTTAAACATTCCAACATCCGAATTATAGGGTTACCAGAAGGGGAAGAGGAACAGCCATGAGTGGAAAACTTATTTGAACAAATAATAAAGGAGAACTTCCCCAATTTGGCAAAGGAAATAGACTTCCAGGAAATCCAGGAAGCTCAGAGAGTCCCAAAGAAGTTAGACTCAAGAAGGAACACACCAAGGCACATCATAATTATATTAGCCAAGATTAAAATGAAAGAGAGAATTCTAGAAGCAGCAAGAGATAAGGGGACAGTCACCTACAAAGGAGTTCCCATCAGACTGTCAGTGGATTTCTCAAAAGACACCTTACAGGCAAGAAGGGGCTGGAAAGAAGTATTCCAAGTCATGAAATCCAAGGACCTACATCCAACATTGCTCTATCCAGCAAAGCTTTCATTTAGAATGGAAGGGCAGATAAAGTGCTTCTCAGATAAGATCAAATTCAAGTTCATCATCACCAAGCCCTTATTATATGAATGTTAAAGGGACTTACCTAAGAAAAAGAAGATAAAAAAGATGAACAGTGAAAGGACAGCAAACTCACAGTTATTAAGAACCACACCTAAAACAAAAGCAAACTAAGAGGATAGCTAGATCAGGTGCAGAACCATAGAAATGAAGATCACATGGAGGGTTAGCAACAGGAGAGTGGGAGAAGGAGAAGTGGGGAGAAGGTACA